AAAAATTCCTTTCAAAATATCACTGTTCATTGACAACATATTTGCTCATCCAAAAGCTTCATAGAGACACACAGGAGATTAATGTTGCTTTTATTCCTACTAATACAACATCTATTCCACAGTTCATAGATCAAGGAGTAATTTCAACTTTCAAGTCTTATTACTTATAATACACACTGCATAAGGCCAAAGTTGCCATATAGATAGTGATTTGTCTGATGGATCTATGCAAGGTAAAACATCCAGGGAAAGATTCACCAACCTAGAGCCAGGAATAACAGTCAAGATTCATGGGAGGAGGCCAAAATGTTGACACTAACAGGAGTTGGGAAGAAGTTGATTCCAGCCCTCACAGATGATTTTGAGATATTGAAGATCTTAGGGGAGGAAGTAACTGCATATGTGGTAGAAACAAGAGAACTATTGGGTTGTCAGGAAAGTCATGACATATTTTTCTAAGCAAAAAAATTCATCATGACTTTTCTGACAACCCAATAGATTTAGACATGGAACCTGTAGATGTAACAGAATTGCTAAAATCTCATGATAAAACTGTAACAGAGAAGTTACTCTTTATGGATGAGGGGGGAAAAAGTGATTTCATGAGATAGAAACTATTCCTAATGAAGATTCTATGAACATTTTTGAAATACAACAAAGGATTTAGGATCTTACACAAACTCTTAAAGCAGCAGCAGAGTTTAAGAGAATTAACTCCAATTCTGGAAAAAAAAAAAAAGGCAGGCAACATGCTATTGAACAGCACTGTATGCTACAGAGGAATCTTTCATGAAAAGAAGAGTCAATCAATGTGGCAAACTTCAGTGCTATCTTATTTTAAGAAAATGCCACAGCCACACCAATGTTTATCAACCACCACCTTCATCAGTCAGCAACAATCCACATTGAGGCAAGACCCTCCATTAGCAAAAAGTTTACAACTTGCTGAAGGCTCACATGATTGTTAGCATTTTTTTAGTAACAAAGTATTTTTTAACTAAAGTTTGTACGTTTTTTGACATAATGCTATTACACATTTAACACATTTCTGTATAGTATAAGCATAATTTCTATATGCACTAGGAAAGCAAATATTCATGTGAATCACTACAGAAAGCAAATATTCGTGGGACAATATTATAGGAAGGACCTTCTGCTATGCTTCAGAACAAAGATATATAAATAAATGATGCCAAAAAAATCGCAGCAGAAAAAACAGTATAGAAAATTTTAAAATAACCAACTGAAAAAAGTGGGAGGGTGTTAAACTTCTGACGATGAATAAAACATCTCACCTGCTAATTTCCCCAACTGAAAATGTATTTAAACCACAGCTTCAACTTTAAATAATAATAGGTACTATCTATTGAGAAAGGAGCTTTACATACATTGTGTCATTCAATCTTCAACATACCCTATGAGGTATATATTTTATTTTATAAATGAGGTATATATTTTATATCATAAATGAGAAGATTGACCGTCAGAGACATTAAAAATAGGTCTAATGTCACTTACAAGAAAACAAAAATTAAACCCACGTTTTTTCAGAAAATAAAACTCGTACTCTTAGCCATAAACCTAGATTACCAATTATTTCAGGTGCCTTTCAAGATAGATAACTCCTCAAAGATTAAAAATATAAAAAGTGATAAATATTGGCAGGGATGTGGTGAAAAGGAAACTCTCCTACACTGTTGGTGGGAATGTAAACTGGTTCAACCACTGTGAAGAATAATATGGAGGTTCCTCAAAGATCTACAAATAGAACTACCATTTGATCTAGCAATCCCACTTCTAGGTATTTACCCAAAGGACAAGAGAACGCTCAGTTGGAAAAGCACTTGCACATCAATGTTTATTGCAGCTTTATTTATGATCGCTAAGACATGGAACCAACCCAAATGCCCACAAACAGATGAATGAATTGAAAAAGTGTGGCACATATATTCTATGGAATACTACTCAGCCATAAAAAAACAAGATCTTTGTTGTTTGATAGGAAGTGATTTGATAGAAAGTGATCAGATATGCAGGACATATTATTGAGTGAAGTAAGCCAGGATATGAAAGAAAAATATTGTATGTATCCACTTAATATATATTGACTATCCACACTTTATGGTAGAGATTGAAATATTGGAGGACATAAAAGCAGTGAAAATAGTTAGCAATGATAAGACAATGTGGAACAGGGCAGAAGAGAAGCACATGGAAAAGGATAGCAAGAGAACAAATAGAGAGGCATGACACTAGTGGGATTCAGATATGGTTTATTACCTGTTAATGATGACATGTATAGTATTCTCAACTGGACACATCTGAGAAGTATTTCATGTTGGGTAAAGTCTTGTTATAAGCAAAATGATAAGTAGTGATTGAATGTTTAAAAATATAGTTGGAATAATAATAATGATAATCTGGAAAGAAATAAAAAGCTGTTAGATGATGATGGGGATTTTATTGTCTTTGTATTGACTGATATGAATGGTATTCCTTCTGGGAAAAGAAATGTAATACAATATGAAGTTATATGTGATCCAATGTAACATAAACAAGATTATGATAATAATAAAAATTTTAAAAACAGATAGATAACTCCTTAAAGTTATCTATAATAATCAAATAATGAAACTATGATAATCTTGTATTACTGTGGATTTCAAAAGCATACATCAATGATAAAGAAAGGCTAACGCTGGTTAATTATGACAACTGGGTACATTGATGTTTCTTACTTATTTAGGTCGGTCTTTATTACTCTATATCTTAAATTGTTTTCAAAATTAAGAGTATAACAAAACACCACATTTTAAAATAATCAATATTCAGTATATCAAAGCACTTACAAAATGTCATAGAAAGGTTCTCTGGAAATTTACTTCTCCATAAAAGCAATGAGAAATGACACTGGCAAAAATGATCAAAACTAAGTTTTGCTAAAATCAGGAAATTAGAGACTTTCAATAATCAAGTAAATGTCTGCATTAGAAAAAGCAGCTGAAACTCTTAAGAACAGTGAATTTTGTGGTATTGCAATTTGCCCTAATCCCATCCCTTTTTCCTAGCATTGCAGTTACCTTGAAAACCAACGGCCCTGTAACTATGGTTGCTGTGAAAACCTTGAATATAGTACTCAGTGGAAAGGCAAAATGAGTTTAGTGCTCCTCCAAAGTCCTATCTCCAAATAATATCACCTAACAGATCTTTGAGAATAACTATTCTCAGGATTTTTCTCCATTAATCTAACACAGAGAGCACTGTATGCGAACTGACCTATCTCCAGGGCATTTGTCAAAACAAATCACTGGCAATTAGTTAACTTCACAAATGTCTGAAGAAGTGTTACCAGTTGAGCTAACAAGAGAGTGACCAAAACACTTCAAAAGAAAAACTGGGAACCGAAGAATGCACAGGGGGCTTTGAAAAGTCCTAACACATTACTAGGAAGAAGAAGGCAACATACATGTGCAGGGTTATGCGCAAACCAAGAGAAGACCTTAGAACATACTAATCTCAGGAACCAGCAGTTAGCATAATGGCAATGTCGCTGGACTCCCACATAGTTGACCACGGTTCACGTCCCGGAACCGGTGGCTTAAAACACACTGGGCACGTGTGCGTGCATGCCCAAGATCCCGAGAGGAGAATGGAGGAGAAGGGATTGTGGCGTGACCATCCCCCCCTGCGGGGTGATTTCTAGCTTTCTGTCTCTGTCTGCTCTGTCTGTCTCCATCTGTCTGGCGAGCACACGTGCCCTATAGCAAAAACCTCTCCAAAAAAAAAAAAAAAAAGAACATACTAATCTCTCACCTCTGGCTAAACTTGAGACTACAAGTTAAAACTCAGGCAGGATTGTACCACATAGGAACTGGCTCCCTGAACCAAGAGGCTACAGAGTAACCACCAGTTATAAAACCAAATGTTGGAGCATTTAAGTCATGTCCCAACACACACATAGAGTTGCTCAGCAATCACTCCAAACAAGTCATTCAAGAAAATCTCTGTACAATCATGAGCTGATAACTAGGCATAGAGGGCAGTGAGACATCAGTGGTGATTAACAACAAAGAATACAAACTTTACAAAACTATTACCAGAAAGTTAAAAAGAAAAGAAAAAGAAAATGGAAACAAACAGCAATAACTACAAACCCTGGAGGGAGAGTAACTCTAATGTCCAGAGTTACCATACTGTATTATTCTAAAGGTCCAGTTTTCAGCAAAGGGCTTGCCACAGTCGCACAGACTCTCAGGGCTCTGCTACGTAATGCTGGAACCATACGAGAAGGCTTGCATTCCAAGTTTGCATTCCAGTTCTGCCTCTACACACACAACACACTGGCCCCACCTGTAATGGCTATAGGCCTGGAGGGAAGACTGTGGTGTGAATAACTTGTTGAGGTGACACCACCCCAAACACACACCCCATCGCTCTAATGAAGAAAATAAGCAAACTTGTGTTTTTTTGTTTTGTTTTGTTTTTTCATTGTCAAGAATTAGTCATTCCAGTGTTATTTTATTTCCATCTGTCAACCTAGATTCTAAGCAACATGAAGGCAGAGGTCACATTATTCATCACATCCGTCTCCAACACAATGTCTCAGAAATACTTGCAGTTGTTGAACCCATGACTAAGTAACTGAAGTCTTGATTAAGTAACCAATTTACCTTTAGATCATGAATTTACTGTTAAAATGAAAATGTCTCTGGAATCAACTCAGTACTTGGCATGCTGACCCAAGAAGTGCGGCAAGGGAATATCCCTCACTCCACTCTGTTATACATGGCAAATACTGGTGGAACAAGATGGGACAGAATGTATGGTATCCGACCATGAAAAAGTGACAGCTCTTGGTGTCAGTCATGTCCAAACTCGTGGTGTCTGGCTCTCAACCTTGGCCCTAAAGGCTACCCCCAAGTTTTATACTTCTTGGTCCACATTTCCACCATTTAGGATTTCTCCACCCATTGCTCTGGGTGCTAATTTCTGTAGGACCATCATCTAGGGACAAGTGGTTTGGGGGTCTTAGCAGTGGCACTGGCTTGCTCTTTCTTCCTCTGTAGTTCCTCTCGCCATCTTGCCTGCTGTTCATTCATGCAATTCCTGAAGGCCTGCACCTGCAGCTGGCACTGCCGCCAGTCTTGGTGCTGGGCT